GTTAATCATATGTGGTGTCTGACTTATAAACTTGTGTAGAACACGGGTCCTGCTGGTGATAGTAAAGCATCATCACTGTACTGCTCACACATGTTGCCTGCACGCTCCACGCACCGTCTAGAAACTTTTTGATCAACCCTCCACAGAACAGCACTGTTTCTATAAGCATCTGTGGATTTGTGTCGGCCCGTTAAAGCCGTTTATACTAATTATGTCTTCGCATGCACACTGTCGTTACTCTTGCAGTAGATGTCGAACACTCAGACCGGAGGTCGCGTTACATTTTGGATGCATTCTTCTGTGTCACTTCAAGTGTTTGCCGCCTTGTCCTGGATCGCTGAGTGGATCTTTCGTAGGTTCTGTCGGACTCTAACAAACTCCATCAACTGGGCTTCCCCTCGTACCTCTTCGCCTTGTTCTTTCTCCCTCTGAGAGAATAAGAGACGCATTGACACTTAATGGCATGTGTATAGATGGCAAAGTGGTACTTCAAGACATGAACATTCATAAAATGTAATGTCAATAAAATGAATTCTCTTCTCATAGAATAGGCACTCTTCAGACATAACTTTAGTTTTTTAAGCTGACCATGCAGACACTTGTCTATCATGACTGTGGTTTTTTGGTGCAGCATGTCAGCTAAGTTAATTGTTTCTGAAGCTACAGTGTATTTTTTAAAAATGTATTATTCCTAAAACTGTGAAAATAGTAGCGTCTGAGATGTGCACATCTGTTTGTTAGTGACAGATGAAACAGTGCAGATGTTTAGTCACACTGAAGGGTCGTCCTGCACAATACAGGACTCGTGTCATTCTAGCTGCTCTGCTGCCCCTGAATTTAATAAATCGCCGCCACAATGAGAAACTATTTGAGGCCTTAGATTCATTTGACAGTGTTTCAGTATGGATGTGATGAAGATGCTGAGGACAGCTGTGCTAACTTTGACATTATGTGTGGCTCCATATTTAAACCAACACGTTGCATGGCAGCTATCCACGACTACACGACAGCAGCAGCTTGTAGTGGATGCCACATCGACTGTTTGTGCTCAGAAGGAAGATTTGCAACAGTCAGGTGAGAGGTTTGTAAATAAATAGTGAACAGTGGAGCTTTTCTTCTGCTTGGCACTGATGAAGCAAACTCGTGTTGAACTTTGTCTCTTCGTTGTGTGCTGCTGTGAGCTCAACTCATGCTTCTGTGTAGAGGATGTACCAGAACATGTCCAATACCATGTTATGTCTTGTTCCTCTGTAGCCTCAGAGCCTCACTCCTCCCTCAAGCTGTATTTTTAAAGTTTTGTATGATTCCTTAAGGAAACCAATTTAAGCAATTCCACGATGAAACGAAGCATCATCCCGATCGCCGAACCTCATACAAAAGGTTTTCTACAATTTATTACCTCAAGTTGTTTCTGCTGGCGTCTGAGCAGCACGTCCTCCAGAGGAGTCCTGCTCGGTCCCTCCCCATCCCGCTCGCTCTGGACTCTTTTCCTCCTCTCCAGCACCTGCTGAAGTTCTGACCTGCTGCTCAGTGCCAGACCCCTTTATCAATAAGTGAAGAAGAGATGGTGTTAGACGCGATGGAAAAGTTAAAGGACTTTTATAGACAGTATGAAAGGGTCTATCGTTCCTCAATTTGAAACATAAATGAAAAGTTATCTTCACCTACACCTACTGATTAAATCACAGCGTTGATATAGCGCCTCTTTGTCCCGACAGCTTCATCTCATTTTAACTGAGCAACGCAGTTACAGTCAGATTTTCGTTGTAACTATTACCAGACACCACAAAGCGGATCAGAACATTTATAGATGTCAGTACAGTCAACACAGGTGGTTGTGATCTGCATGACTCTCTGAAACATTTGCTGGGAGTTCTCGCTGCAGATCTTTTGTCTACCAGAATAATCTACCTAATAACGCTGATTTAAACCAATTTAGTGCAGTTGCTTTAATCTCAATGACATAAAAAATTATACAAATGCAGTTTGGTCCACAACCAGTTTTGTCAAGAACAACAAGTAGTTCAGTTCAACATGTTCATGGCTCCTTTAGGTTCTAAGTATCTGGAACTCCCAACTAGTCAGTCAGAACTGATGAAGCCTCTTGGATGAGAGGTGGAACGTCTTCAAGGAACTCAAGCAGTTGCTACGATTAATCTCCCAGAATAACCACGACCTGGATGACTGAGGATCTTCACAGACACCAACAATTAGGCTACTTAGCAAGAAATCATGAGTGGGTTAGTAGGTTAGTAACATAATCATACTCACCATACTGACTGTTTCTCTAAATCTGCCCATTTCTCATTTCTATCTACTAAAGGAACTGCAGATATTATAGTTTTCCAAGTGTTCTGTTGGCAGTTTGGAAAGATTTCTGTTCTCTGGTCCCACCGTGTCTCCCACT